GGCACATGACAGCCCGCTTGGAGTTTGCCAAAAGGCACCTAAAGGACTCTCAGACCATGAGAAACAAGATTCTCTGGTCTGATGAAACCAAGATTGAACTCTTTGGCCTGAATGCCAAGTGTCACGTCTGAAGGAAACCTGGCAGCTTCATGCTATGGGGATGTTTTTCAGCAGCAGGGACTGGGAGAATAGTCAGGATCGAGGGAAAGATGAACAGAGCAAAGAGAGATCTTTGATGAAAACCTGCTCCAGAGCGCTCAGGACCTCAGACTGGGGAGAAAGTTCACCTTCCAACAGGACAATGACCCTAAGCACACAGCCAAGACAACGCAGGAGTGGCTTCGGGACAAGTCTCTGAATGTCATTCAGTGGCCCAGCCAGAGCCTGGATTGAACCCGATCAAAACTCTCTGGAGAGACCTGAAAATAGCTGTGCAGCGACGCTCCCCATCCAACCTGACAGAGCTTGAGAGGATCTGCAGAGAAGAATGGGAGAAACTCCCCAAATACAGTTATGCCAAGCTTGCTTTGTCATTATGGGGTATTGTGTGTAGATCGATGAGGGGGGAAAAAAACAATTTAATCAATTATAGAATAAGGCTGTAACGTAACAAAATGTGGAAAAAGTCAAGAATTCTGAATACTTCCCAAATGCACTGTATATATACAGTATATACAGTACCAGTCAAAAGTTTGGACACACCTACTCATTCCAGTGTTGTTCTTTATTTTTACTATTTTCTACATTGCAGAATAATAGTGAAGACATCAACACTATGAAATAACACATATGGAATCATGAAGTGTTAAACAAATAAAAATATATTTTATATTTGAGATTCTTCAAAGTAGCCTCCCTTTGCCTTGATTACAGCTTTGCACACTCTTGGCATTCTCTAAACCAGCTTCATGAGGTAGTCACCTGGAATGCAGTTCAATTAACAGGTGTGCCTTGTTAAAAGTTAATTTGTGGAATTTCTTTCCTTCTTAATGAGTTTGAGATAATCAGTTCTGTTGTGACAAGGTAGGGGTGGTATACAGAAGATAGCCCTATTTGGTAAAAGACCAAGTCCATATTATGTAAGGAACAGCTCAAATAAGCAAAGAGAAATGACAGTGTTGCATCAGATGACCTGGCCTCCACAATCACCCGACCTCAAACCAATTGAGATGGTTTGGGATGAGTTGACCGCAGAGTGAAGGAAAAGCAGCCAACAAGTGCTCAGCATTTGTGGGAACTCCCTCAAGACTGTTGGAAAAGCATTCCTCATGAAGCTGGTTAAGAGAATCCCAAGAGTGTGCAAAGCTGTCATCAAGGCAAAGGGTGGCTACTTTGACTATAAAACATATTTTGATTTGTTTAATACTTTTGGTTACTATATGATTCCATATGTGTTATTTCATAGCGTTGATGTCTTCACTATTATTCTACAATGTAGAAAAGCCCTTGAATGAGTAGGTGTGTCCAAACTTTTGACTGGTACTGTATGTATATATATTTTTAATCCCCTTTTCCTCCACAATTTCATGATATCCAATTGCAATCTTATCTCATCACTGCAACTCCCCAACGGGCTTTGGAGAGGCAAAGGTGGAGTCATGCGTCCTCTGAAACTTGACCCGCAAAACCGCACTTCTTAACACCCGCCCGCTTAACCCGGGAAGCCAGCCGCACCAATGTGTTGGAGGAAACACTGTCCAACTGACAACCGAATTCAGCCTGCAGGTGCCCGGCCCGCCACAAGGAGTCGGTAGACCGTTATTAACCAAGTAAAGCCCCCCTGTTAAACCCTCCCCTAACCCGGACGACGCTGGGCCAATTGTGCACCATCCTATGGGACTCCCGGTCACGGCCGGTTGTGACACAGCCTGTGATCGAACCCGGGTCTGTAGTGTCGCCTCAAGCACTGCGATGCAGTGCCTTAGACCGCTGCTCCACTCGGGAGGCGCAAAAATACGTATTTTACAGACATTGAAAATATATATTTTCCGGATGTTGAAATCAGGCTAATTTTTGGTTCTGAATTAAAGTTGAAAATAAGTAATTTATAGACGTCTATGTTTGGGCCAAATCCAGGCTGGTCCAGACCGTAAAAAATCTGAACCAAAAACCGGACCTGACCAAAAACCAATGTCCGTGGATGTGGAAATCAAGGCCAGTCCGGAACTGCACCAAAAAAAGACGTCCAAAAGGCGTCGGGCATCGGTCCGTGCTTACTGAGGTGTAGCCTACAGTGTTCCTTGAAATTGAATTTTATGAATGCCCATCTATGTGGTAAGCGTAACATTTGTAAAACACCAAAAAACGACGTCCGGAAAGGACAAAAAAAAGACGGCCAAAATATGTTGGCTCGTGCTTACTGGGCTGTAGCCTACCATGTTGGCCTGCAATGGAATTTTATGAATGCCCATCCATGTGGTAGGCCCACGATTTGTAAAACAGGCCATTGCAATGGCACACATAAACAATCTATGTCTCAATTGTCTCAAGGCTTAAAAATCCTTCTTTAACCTGTCTCCTCCCCTTCATCTACGCTGATTGAAGTGGATCTAACAAGTGACATCAATAAGGGATCATAGCTTTCACCTGGATTCACCTGGTCAGTCTGTCATTGTGTTCATAATGTTTTGTAAACTCAATGTATATCATACCTTTTATGTTCCTACTTTACACACACACACACACATTTTCCTTATGTAGCTCTTAAAATATGTAGTAGACAAACCAGTTTACAGTGAGGGAAAAAAGTGTTTCATCCCCTGCTGATTTTGTACGTTTGCCCACTGACAAAGAAATGATCAGTCTATAATTTTAATGGTAGGTTTATTTGAACAGTGAGAGACAGAAAAGAAAAAAAAATCCAGAAAAACGCATGTCAAAAAACATGACTTAGTACTTGGTGGCAAAACCCTTGTTGGCAATCACAGAGGTCAGAAGTTTCTTGTAGTTGGCCACCAGGTTTGCACACATCTCAGGAGGGATTTTGTCCCACTCCTCTTTGCAGATCTTCTCCAAGTCATTAAGGTTTCGAGGCTGACGTTTGGCAACTCGAACCTTCAGCTCCCTCCACAGATTTTCTATGGGATTAAGGTCTGGAGACTGGCTAGGCCACTCAAGGACCTTAATGTGCTTCTTCTTGAGCCACTCCTTTGTTGCCTTGGCCGTGTGTTTTGGGTCATTGTCATGCTGGAATACCCATCCACGACCCATTTTCAATGCCCTGGCTGAGGGAAGGAGGTTCTCACCCAAGATTTGACGGTACATGGCCCCGTCCATCATCCCTTTGATGCGGTGAAGTTGTCCTGTCCCCTTAGCAGAAAAACACCCCCAAAGCATAATGTTTCCACCTCCATGTTTGACGATGGGGATGGTGTTCTTGGGGTCATAGGCAGCATTCCTCCTCCTCCAAACACGGCGAGTTGAGTTGATGCCAAAGAGCTCGATTTTGGTCTCATCTGACCACAACACTTTCACCCAGTTCTCCTCTGAATCATTCAGATGTTCATTGACAAACTTCAGACAGTCATGTATATGTGCTTTCTTGAGCAGGGGGACCTTGCGGGCGCTGCAGGATTTCAGTCCTTCATGGCGTAGTGTGTTACCAATTTTTTTCTTGGTGACTATGGTCCCAGCTGCCTTGAGATCATTGACAAGATCATCCCGTGTAGTACTGGGCTGATTCCTCACCGTTCTCATGATCATTGAAACTCCACAAGGTGAGATTTTGCATGTAGCCCCAGGCCGAGGGAGATTGACAGGTCTTTTGTGTTTCTTCCATTTGCGAATAATCGCACCAACTGTTGTCACCTTCTCACCAAGCTGCTTGGCGATGGTCTTGTAGCCCATTCCAGCCTTGTGTAGGTCTACAATCTTGTCCCTGACATCATTGGAGAGCTCTTTGGTCTTGGCCATGGTGGAGAGTTTGGAATCTGATTGATTGATTGCTTCTGTGGACAGGTGTCTTTTATACAGGATCGAACCCGGGTCTGTAGTGTCGCCTCAAGCACTGCGATGTAGTGCCTTAGACCGCTGCTCCACTCGGGAGGCGCAAAAATACGTATTTTACAGACATTGAAAATATATCTCTCCAATGTCATTGTGTGAAATATGTTTCATTTTATTTGTATTGTTAAAATAACATTATTTGATATAGATTATAATGTTTTCATGTTTTAGGCGATATATAGATCATCTTTGGTTTAGTCCTGAAATGACGAAATGACCAAAAACATATCCATGTCCTTTCGTGGCCCCTCGTGATTCCATTCTGTGAATTGAGTGAGTTACTTCCTACTCCAGGCTTTCCTTTCCTCGATGGCTTGGCGTTGTTATGGGCAACTGTAATTCCAAAATGTTGTCACTGCCCATGGGATTCACAATTGGACAGTTTTACTTGTCAGTTAGAGAAATATAATATTTGGATTCGTCGAAATTAACGTCAATCAATAGAGGTGCTATGTCATTGGCTATTTTGCATGCATATGCACCGCCTCCTGGAAAACGACCACGCCGCAAAAAACGTATCTTCATCGGTCTGGTGAGCTAGAGGTGCACGAATACAACTTGCGGAACAGATAGGGGTTGTTTTGTTCTGATTATTTTCTATGTTTATTTTTCTCGCTACCCATTCACCGCAAGAGACTCTGGCCTGTGGACATTTGGAATTACAAAAGTATTGGTGCAACAAGTTGCCTACTAGCGTCCTGGCTTGAGTAGGATGGGAGAAGAACCTGCGACAAGGCTAGTGTACCTGTTTGTTGTCTAGTTGTTTGGAACAATGCATGGTAATGCTAAACATAAACTGCTAGCCAGAACGAGCTCATCCATTCAGTCCCAGTTCACTTGTTTCTAGTTTCAATGTAGTTCAAACACTGTATGCTAGCTAAATAAACACCGTGACAATAACTGGTAGGGGTGGCTAGGGTAGAACGGGAAAAAGTGGTGGTTTTTATTTTGTATAAATAAACGGCCTTTGGGCATTCTATTGTAGAGAGCCGGAGATGTCTGACGCTGGCTCCGACGAGGAGCTGGAGATTCCCACACCGATGATGGAGCAGGGGAGTCACGACGGGAGTATCAGAAAGGTGAGCGATACGCAGTTGTAGCTAGAAAAACACGATACTGTACCAACACACGTTTATATTGAAGTACATTTTCCATTGGGACGTGTATCTGTTATGAACAGGACAATAATGTTTTGGCCTAATTGTCAGATTCATAGTGCAATACGGCATAGGTGTTCCACATTATCAATACCATATGAAGTGCACCATTGAAAGTGATGTATAATTGACACACATTGCATACACAAAGTTTCATTACTGAACTGATTACATATTCATTGAGGGCTATCCTGGTCCTGCATTGAGTTGCCATTATGTTGATAAACCTTTGGTGACTTAGTGGTGGGGGGGTCTGCTGTTGCATCATGAGGGGTAGATTGTGGCAGGATGCTGTCCAGGGGGAGATATGGTACTGATGGCATGTTGCTGGGAGAGCCTAGTTACCCCCTTCCACCCCCTGCTGTCCCCCGGCCGGGGGTACACTCTTATAAAATATGTGTTATTTAGCACATCTGTGTGTCTTGTTAGGGTTGACACATGTTGTGAACTTTTAACACAATCAGTGTGTTGGTACAACATGATTTGTGTACATTTTTTCAACACATTTTGTGTCAGGTCCTGCAATTTATGTGTTAAAAGCTGAAAACCATAAAACACACCCTAGATGTGTTTGATTATTGACCAATTACATTGCGGCTCCGGAGTCATCATGCATCAAGGAGTGCTTGGTCTGAGCTGACGCTGGAGCTAGATGACTGTAGCATGGCTATGGCTGAGCTGGGACTGGAGGCAGGGGGCTGAAGCATGGCTAGGCTAGCACCTTAATCCCTACAAGCACTGAGGATTAATGGGCGCACACTCACAAAACAATCACCTCACTAAGAGAGAGGGGTGAGAGAGCGAGGGATGAGAGAGAGAATAAAATAAGGTGAGGGGAAAGGGAGATGGAGGGAGGTTGGCTTGGCTGTGAGAGGGAGAGAGAAAAAGGGAGGAATAAGGAGAGAGAGTTTCTCATTTTGGGGTTAGCATACCCTATTATGGCCTTTCCTTCCGTGTTGTGGTCTGTTTCTTCCTTGTTTCTCTGTACTGTACGAGTAAGAGCCTAGTCAGCTGGCTTTAAGGACAAAACACACCATGCCGATGAACGGTTAAAAGCAGCGGGTGGCTGTCCTATCGCCTCTGACCACAGAACATCGGCCGTCATTTTATTTTTATTTCTCAACAATTGTAGGCCTACGTGTTGACAAGACATGCATTCGGAAAGTGTTCAGACCCCTTGACTTTTCCCACATTTTGTTACGTTACAGCCTTATTCTAAAATTGATTAAATTGTCCCCCCCCCCCCTCATCAATCTACACACAATACCCCATAATGACAAAGCAAAAACATCTTTTAAGGATTTTTTGCAAATGTATAAAAAGTAAATAACTGAATATCGCATTTACATATGTTTTCAGACCCTTTACTCAGTACTTTGTTGAAGCATCTTTGGCAGCGATTACAGCCTTGAGTCTTATTGGGTATGACGCTACAAGCTTGGCACACCTGTATTTGGGGAGTTTCTCCCATTCTTCTCTGCATACCCTCTCAAGCTCTGTCAGGTTGGATGGGGAGCATCGCTGCACAGATATTTTCAGGTCTCTCCAGAGATGTTCGATCGGGTTCAAGTCCGGGCTCTGGCTGGGCCACTCAAGGACATTCAGAGACTTGTTTCCGAAGCCACGCCTGCGTTGTCTTGGCTGTGTGCTTAGGGTCGTTGTCTGTTGGAATGTGAACCTTCGCCCCAGTCTGAGGTCCTGAGTGCTCTGGAGCAGGTTTTCATCAAGGATCTCTCTGTACTTTGCTCCGTTCATCTTTCCCTCGATCCTGACTAGTCTCCCAGTCCCTGATGCTGATAAACATCCCCAAAGCATGATGCTGCCACCACCATGCTTCACTGATTGCTCAGTTTGGCGCAGCGACCAGCTCTAGGAAGAGTCTTGGTGGTTCCAAACTTCTTCGGGACCTTCAATGCTGCAGACATTTTTTGGTACCCTTCCCCAGATCTGTGCCTCGAAACAATCATGTGTCGGAGCTCTATGGACAATTCCTTCGGCCTCATGGCATGGTTTTTGCTCTGACATGCACTGTCAACTGTCGGACCTTATATAGACTGGTGTGTGCCTTTCTAAATCATGTCTAATCAATTAAATTTACCACAGATGGACTCCAATCAAGTTGTAGAAACATCTCAAGGATGATCAATGGAAACCGGATGCACCTGAGCTCAATTTCGAGTCTCATAGCAAAGGGTCTCTGAATACTTTAGTAAATGTGATATTTCCGTTTATATACATTTGCTAAAAAAAACTGTTTTCACATTGTCATTATGGGGTATTGTGTGTAGATTGATGAGGAAAAACATTTATTTAATCAATTTTAGAATAAGGCTGTAACGTAACAAAATTTGGAAAAAGTCAAGGGGTGTGAATACTTTCCGAATGCACTTGTCCTTCAGTTAGCAGACTACAGGAAGATGGAAGACTCACCGAAGGTTCGCGTAGGACTAGCAAGCATTGATCCAGTCGTTAGCGGCTGCGAGGTGAGACATGGGCGGCGCACATGGCCACGTTCCAAGGTAGGGAGAGAAGGCCGGCAGGGATGTAGCCAGGTAGGCATGGGTTGCAACTCCAGGTGTTGGGTTCGAAAATAAGTACACTAACGGAAGTCGCTCTGGAAAAGAGCGTCATGCTAAATGACTAAAATGTAGTAAATGTATAGCATGTGGAAAAAGATACGCATTGTCATATGAAAAAAGTAAGATACTCATAGAAAAGACTCAAGTGAAAGTCACCAAGTATAAAACTACTTGAGTAAAAGTATTTTAAATATACTGTACTTAAGTATCAAAAGTAAATGTAATTGCAAAAATATACTTAAGTATCAAAAGTAAAAGTATGAATCATTTCAAATTGCCTATATGAAGCAAACCATCTTTTTTTACGGATAGCCAACACTCAGACATAATTTACAAACAACGCATTTGTGTTTAGTGAGTCTGCCAGATCAGAGGCAGTAGGGATGACCAGGGATGTTCTCTTGATAAGTTATGTCACACAAAATTCCCTAATCGTCAACAGCATCATTAGTCACTAGTACAGTCCTGATCTAGGTCTTAACTTGATCTCATAGCTGCACCCCAGCCTCATAACCAGTGACGATTGCTCACCCTTTCTTTGAACCCTCTTCCCAGCCTCATATGTCTTCTAAGCTGAGATCTCAGAGCAATTTTAGCCTTTCCATCAGAGTGCGCTCTGCATAATCATGGATCATATGGTCTACTGCTTTCCTCAATGTTCAAGATCATATGTGAAGTTGTAGACCTTGTAACTGAATACCACGTGTAGAGGTACAGATCCACACCTTGAGTTGATCACTTACAGACATGGTGGGGTGACGAAGTTACAGTATTGAAAAGAAGAGCATTGGTAACTTTTGGTGCCTGTATGTGTGTGGTAGGCAAAGGTCAGTTGTAAGAGGTCTTCAAGTCTCCTCCGTTCTGTGGACTGTAACGTCTAAGGACAGCAGGCTACCGACCGAGATCTGCTGGGGCTTGGTCTCCTGGCAACCATCACCACAGATAGCCTACTACATTGACAACAGGATATCTGATTCTAACTGTGATGGAGGCAGGTGGTCTTAATCACCCATACTTAATCAGGGAGGGAAACTAACCAGGTGCTCAGGTGTATGTCTCCCTCAGTCAGGTCTATCTGTGACAGGTTTGTGTAATGTAATGCACTGAATAGTCCATCAACCCCTACCTGTTCTGCTAGGAATACACTCTTCTTTACGTACAGTTGGTGTTTATTACATGCTTATTATACACTGATATACAAAGGCATGTGAACTAGAACTACACATAGGGTTTAGACACAAGCAAGAAGAGATAGACAGACATATTGTGCTCTAGCATGTTATGCATTAACCACAATCTCTCTTCCAATCCCCCTCTTTTCTCTCCAGGGTTGTGATCCCTGTTCCCAGACCCAGCGCAGTAAGCTGCAGCACCGTAGAGCTCGTATCAACCAGCAGATCAACAAGGAGATGAGGATGAGGGCCGGGGCTGAAAACCTCTTCAGGTGAGCTGGGGTGGGGGCAGGTGTCAGGGAAGGGACAGGTCATTGTACAAGTTGTCGAATGCTGTCTCTGATCCTGTGTGTACACAGCTTTGGGGGGCATCCACTCCCTCCCCTCCCCTGTGGTGGAAAAAGGAACCCCAAGCCAAACTACCTGTGGAAACATTGAGCTCTATCATATACAAACACTAGCAGATGGAAATATCCAACTATTTTAGGGTATATGGGGAACACCTCCAAAACACACACCACCCTGTTTTATCACTCTGTTTGTGTCCCATGGTGTGTGTGTGGGTTTTGTGTATTGCCAGTCCGCAGGTTTGATTCCTATTATTTTCTCCCCTCATTTAAAAAAAAGTGTATTTTGCCAGTTAGACATGCATATCAAACACACACACACACACACACACACACACACACACACACACACACACACACACACACACACACTACTTGACCTGTGCTGAACTTGAACAGCTAGAATACAGCCTGTTCTCATTCTGTCTCCTTTAAAGTAATTAGTATTTTTCTTTCCAGTGGAAGAAAGATAGGAATAAAAGCTGGTGGCAGGACATCAAAGCTGAGGTTTTTAAAGCACATCAAACCATCTTAGAGCATTATCATCATTTTGATCCTTTCCCTCTCTGCCTTTTCTTCTCCCCTTCGCCCCCCCCCCCCCCCCCCCCCCCCCCCCCCCCCAACTCTTATTTCATCAAGTTTATCCTACACTTATTAGTAGTGTGGGAGCCACTGAAGGACATGGTGTATTGGAGTGGTCTGAGTGGTGGTGTAGAGTGGTATGATAGGACACTGTCTCTCTGTCTCTCTCTTTAACATCCATATTCATCTGAAAAGAGGAGGAGGAAGAGAGGAGGAGAAGAAGGACTTAATTAAAGCAGTGTGCTTTCTTCTTCTGCTTTAGTGGTCTGTTTGGCTCAGTCAGGCTCTAATAACATAAACACCTAGAACAACATCAAGCTAATTGAAAGAAAACCAACCCTCCCCTGTGTGTGTGTGTGTGTGTGTGTGTGTGTGTGTGTCAACCCTCCCTTTTACTTGTATTTTTATTTTCTTGTCCGACGTAATTAGGTTTTGAGAAAAGTTGGCAAGTGAAATTAAGAATAAGATTAGTCGAGTCAGGGTTGACAGGGTTGATTCAGGCTAGGACATGAATCACATTGTCATACTTCTGAATTTGCAGCTTTGCCTGATAGAGACCACCATTAAAAAGGGAAGACTAGGGGATGGGGGTAATAACACCCACCAGCAACACCCAGCCCTTCCCTTCCCCCTTTTTTGGGACTAGGTCACATAGACAAATAGACCCCCAGTCAGCCACCAATCAACAGGCTTTGTGTCCGGTCCCACTGCTGCATCTTTCCCTTCCCATTCCCAGGCAGAGAGAGAGCGATTCCCAGGGAGGACAGCTGTCTGCAGGAATATATATATATATATATATATATATAACACACACACACACACACGGATGATGAATTGTTGTCAGTAAACTGGTTTGTGTTGGTAGGAGGTAGGGGGAGGAGGGGAATGGAGTGACTGAGGCTAATGATGGGAGAACAGGGGGGGGTATCTCATTTAGGGCTATCCCCGACTAAAACTTAAGTCTTAAGTCTGTTCTTTCGACTAATCGATTGGTCAAAATCTTAAAATGTGTATTTTTCCATATATAGACACACCCTGTGTTTGAATAAAATCAACTATATATGCATTGAGCTTGTCTGATGCTTTAAGCTCACTGTTTGATGAAATAAGACACAAATGACTCAAGAGGGAGCCAGAGATCAAGATAATCAGAAGAAAAAAAACGTTACCTGTATCGACCATCCTCCTCCTGCTCCTACTGGCTTTCGCAGATTTTGCCATTACTCTTCTGAAGTTGCCGGTAATACGCTACACAAGGAGTTGGCAGACTTTCTCATATGGAATGCCAATGTATCTTAACATTTCTACCGATCTGCGTGCCAGTTATGGTTTAAATTTGCACATTTTCGTGGAACAGTTTCATTGAATTTATAAAAATGTCTTCATGTCTCAATCATTGTCATGTGGTTAATCAAAATTCTATCCAAATCTAAATGAAATTGATACTTTTTAAGTTTGTAACTTCTATTGCCATTGCCAACTATGTAAAAATAGCTTAGAAAGCCAACAAATGAAAACATTGCTGCCTGCAGGTAGAACATCCTGATAAAAATAAATACCCTATAAATGATATTGGCTACGCATGGCCTGTCTGCAACAAACTTTAAACATTGTATCAACTATTAACTTGGGTCCGGCCTGAAGCTCCTTGCAACATTGTATAACATATTATGGGCACTCAGAGTTTCCGTGCCAGTGAGCTCGGGACAGACACAGCTGTAGGCTATTTGCGCAAGGGATAAGAAGTAATCAGGTAGGCCTACTTTATGACGTTTCCACTGGATCAGAGCATGACATTTCCCTTTCACGCTGAGTGGTTATCGAAAGGGAGAGAGCTGGAAAGGTTTTTCGAATGCATTGAGGAATTGTTGTCATTCACAATGGATGTAAAAACAGACTTCATTTGGTTGCTGTTTGAGGTGAAAACATTACTTTGAGAAGCTCCACAGCTCATTAGTGGTGGTACATTAAGCCAATCAGAAATACTATCAGATCCCCAAATGGGCACATTTTATATGCAGGCCAGGTAGCCTATAGGCCTACTTCTATGCGTGCGCGTCCTTACTCAACATTGACAGGAGAGCTCCAAACAAAAGACAATGACTAAATTAACAAAACTCGTAAATGGAATGAAATAAACAAAAAATGATTTCTCACAAGTCTGGCATAGGTTGTGCGCTCTGCAAACAACATGTCCACTCCGTCAATGAGAACGGTAAAGGACTGGAATAATAATATATTGAACGCATTAACCGAAGTTAGCGTAACCAATCAAGTGTAGATTAGAAATTATAGGAATGAGCGGTAAATGTACTACTGGTGATATATATAATTGGGAATTAATTGACACTAACAATCAAACGCAAACAATTCACACAAAGAAGTTATTGAAACAATTAATGTGCACAAATTGGCGGGAGAGAGCCCATTCTGGAGAGAGACGTGCATTGTTCAGCCACACTCCCCTTCTTGGACTGTGCCATCCCCGCAGCAATGGATTAGTCTCGGCCTCCGCAAAGGATTAGTTCACTGAGATGGCCACGAATAAGACAGGTGTCTCGTGTTCCATAATATATATACAGTACCAGTCAAAAGTTTGGACACACATTTTTACATTTACATTTTAGTCATTTAGCAGACGCTCTTATCCAGAGCGACTTACAGTTAGTGAGTGCATACATTTTCATACTGGCCCCCCGTGGGAAATGAACCCACAACCCTGGCGTTGCAAGCGCCATGCTCTACCAACTGAGCTACAGGGGACTAATCACACCTACTCATTCAAGCGTTTTACTTTATTTTTACTATTTTCTACATTGTAGAATAATAGTGAAGACATCAAAACTATGAAATGACACATATGGAATCATGTAGTAACCAAAAAAGTGTTAAACAAATCAAAATATATTTTATATTTGAGATTCTTCAAAGTAGCCACACTTTGCCTTGATGACAGCTTTGCACACTCTTGGCATTCTCTCAACCAGCTTCACCTGGAATGCTTTTCCAACAGTCTTGAAGGAGTTCCCACATATGCTGAGCACTTGTTGGCTGTTTTTCCTTCACTCTGCCGTCCGACTCATCCCAACATCTCAATTGGGTTGAGGTCGGGGGATTGTGGAGGCCAGGTCATCTGATGCAGCACTCCATTACTCTCCCTCTTGGTAAAATAGCCCTTACACAGCCTGGAGGTGTGTTGGGTCATTGTCCTGTTGAAAAACAAATGATAGTCCCACTAAGCCCAAATCAGATGGGATGGCGTATCGCTGCAGAATGCTGTGGTAGCCATGCTGGTTAAGTGTGCCTTGAATTCAAAATAAATCACAGACAGTGTCACCAGCAAAGCACACCCACACCATAACATCTCCTCCTCCATGCTTTACGGTGGGAAATACACATGCGGAGATCATCCGTTCACCCACACCGCATCTCACAAAGCCAATAGTAAAAAAAAAAATACAAATAAAGGAAAACCCTGGACTACTCATTCCAGGGTTTTCCTTTATTTTTACATTTATTTTTATTTTTTACCTCATCTCATTAGAGCTTCTGATTGGCTGATGAACATTTCATTATGTGCTGACATGCTGGTGTAACAGGCCAGTGTGTTATCTACCTTGGGAAAGGAATTCTAGTGAGGGAGAAAGAGGGAGACAGTAACTAGTCTAATCCTGTGGAGGATGACATCACTCAGTTCATTACTGGAAATGAGAGCAGTACAGGGGATTTTAATGGGGGTGGTATGACCGTGACTTTGAACTGAAGTGAAGAGCACACACAGGCCCTGATGTTTTTCCTAGAGTAAAATAACAGTTTTATGTGACTCACTCAACACAGACACACATTATACACTGGCGGTATCAGACAGTTTAGTTTAACAGCAATACTTGGATGTTTCTTTTCCCTCTGTTGTAGATCATGCGTGCAAGCGAGTGTGTGTATGTGTGTGTGTGTGTGTGTGAAGCCTTTAAAGCTAACTGTAATCAGATTGGCCTTGGCTTGTCCTAGAGAGAGAGAGGTGTATGTTTGTGGGGTGAGGAGAGGAGGGTATGAGGTCTGACGTCAGATTAGCCTGTGTTGGGCATGGGGAAAGGGGTCACAGATGTGTGTGCTTGCTTGCAACGTGTGTTGTGTGTGAGGACGGAGGTTGTTTTAAATGTTATTGATAACCTTAAAATAGGGGACAAGTCTCCTGTAGTAAATCAAATCAAATCAAATTTTATTGGCCACATGCGCCGAATACAACAGGTGCAGACATTACAGTGAAATGCTTACTTACAGCCCTTAACCAACAGTGCATTTATTTTTAATAAAAAAGAGCAGAAGTAAAATAAAATAACAGTAGGGCGACTTTTTCTAATCATAGTCGCACACCTTATGTAGCATTTATTTTTAATAAAAAAGTAAAATAAAACAACAACAAAAAAGTGCTGAGAAAAAAGAGCAGAAGTAAAATAAAATAACAGTAGGGAGGCTATATATACAAGGGGGTACTGGTGCAGAGTCAATGTGCGGGGGCACCGGCTAGTTGAGGTAGTTGAAGTAATATGTACATGTGGGTAGAGTTAAAGTGACTATGCATAAATAGCAGCAGCAGCGTAAAAAGATGGGGTTGGGGGGCAGTGCAAATAGTCCGGGTAGCCATGATTAGCTGTTCAGGAGTCTTATGGCTTGGGGGTAGAAGCTGTTGAGAAGTCTTTTGGACCTAGACTTGGCACTCCGGTACCACTTGCCGTGCGGTAGCAGAGAGAACAGTCTATGACTAGGGTGGCTGGAGTCTTTGACAATTTTTGAGGGCCTTCCTCTGACACCGCCTGGTATAGAGGTCCTGGATGGCAGGAAGCTTGGCCCCAGTGATGTACTGGGCCGTACGCACTACCCTCTGTAGTGCCTTGCGGTCGGAGGCCAAGCAGTTGCCATACCAGGCGGTGATGCAACCAGTCAGGATGCTCTCGATGGTGCAGCTGTAGATTTTTTTGAGGAACTGAGGACCCATGCAGAATCTTTTCAGTCTCCTGAGGGGGAATAGGCTTTGTCGTGCCCTCTTCACGACTGTCTTGGTGTGTTTGGACCATGATAGTTTGTTGGTGATGTGGACACCAAGGAACTTGAAGCTCTCAACCTGTTCCACTACAGCCCCGTCGATGAGAATGGGGGCGTGTTCAGTCCTCTTTTTTTTTCTGCAGTCCACAATCATCTCCTTTGTCTTGGTCACGTTGAGGGAGAGGTTGTTATCCTGGCACCACACGGCCAGGTCTCTGACCTCCTCCCTATAGGCTGTCTCGTCGTTGTCGGTGATCAGGCCTACCACTGTTGGGTCGTCGACAAACTTAATGATGGTGTTGGAGTCGTACCTGGCCATGCATTCATGGGTGAACAGGGAGTACAGGAGGGAACTGAGCACGCACCCCTGAGGGGCCCCTGTGTTGAGGATCAGTGTGGCAGATGTGTTGTTACCTACCCTTACCACCTGGGGTGGTATGTTTGTTGTGCTTGTCCTTGAAAGACTCACTCTTGTTGATTCCTAATACTCTTCTGGCAAAGGGAGTAGCTTTCTCATCCAAGTTAATCACAGAATCGGGTTGAGTGGTGCCTCTTGACCCTTTGTGTATGTCTGTAGGCCTACGTGTGTGTGTGTGTGTGTGTGTGTGTTACATGAAGGTGTGTATTGGGGCAGCACCTACTCTTCCAGGGTTCCAGCAAAATTAAGGCAGGTATACAATTTGAAAAAACATTACAATACCTTCACAGATTTCACAACACACTGTGTGCCCTTCTCCACCACTACCACATATCTACAACACAAAATCCATGCATGTGTATAGTGTGTATGTTATCGTGTGTGTATGCATGTGTCTGTGCCTATGTATGCGTTGCTTCACAGTCCCCGCTGTTCCATAAGGTGTATTTTTATCTGTTTTTTTTTTCAATCTAATTTTACTGCTTGCATCAGTTACTTGATGTGGAATAGAGTTCCATGTAGTCATGGCTCTTTTAGTACTGTGCGCCTCCCATAGTCTGTTCTGGACTTGGGGACTGTGAAGAGACCTCTTGTGGCATGTCTTGTGGGGTATGCATTGGTGTCCGAGCTGTGCGCCAAACAGACAGCTCGGTGCATTCAACATGTCAATACCTCTCATAAATACAAGTAGTGATGAAGTCAATCTCTCCTCCACTTTGAGCCAGGAGAGATTGACATGCATATTATTAATGTTCGCTCTTTGTTTTTCATCCAAGGGCCAGCCGTGCTGCCCTGTTCTGAGCCAATTGCAATTTTCCTAAGTCCCTTTTTGTGGCACCTGACCACACGACTGAACAGTAGTACAGGTGTGTCAAAACTAGGGCCTGTAGGACCTGCCTTGTTGATAGTGCTGTTAAGAAGGTAGAGCAGCGCTTTATTATGGACAGACTTATCCCCATCCTAGCTACTGTTGTATCAATATGTTTTGACCATGACAGTTTACAATCCATGGTTACTCCAAGCACTTGAATCACCTCAACTTGCTCAATTTCCACATTATTTATTACAATATTTAGTTGAGGTTTAGGGTTTAGTGAATGATTTGTCCCAAATACAATGCTTTTAGTTTTAGAAATATTTAGGACTAACTTATTCCTTGCCACCCACTCTGAAACTAACTGCAGCTCTTTGTTAAGTGTTGCAGTCATTTAATTTGCTGTAGGCTTAAATTGAAAATATAGCAAATAGGTGTGATGGGTGATTTGAAGGAGTCAGGCGCAGGAGGGTAAATCACAGAATAACAGGACTTATTCCGGAATACAGTGTACGCAGTAAAGCGTAAAAACAGTCCAGTTCACAAAACAGGCGCACTGGAACCAACAAGGTAACACAGGGAAAATAACCCTGGCAAGGAGCTCCACCGAGCTTCACTATGCTCTAAATAAACAAACACACACAAAAACAAGGGGGCAGAGGGAACACTTATACAGGTACTGATGAGGGGATATGAACCAGATGTGTGTAATAAACAAGACAAAACAAATGGAATGATGAGATGAGGAGCGGCAGTGGCTAGAAGGCCTGGTGACGACGAATGCCGAAGCCTGCCCTGAACAAGGAGAGGAGGCAGCCTCGGAGGAAGTCGTGACAATAAGAGTGGCAATATCGTCTGCTATTATTGACTTGTGATTGTGTGTGTGTGTGTGTGATTTTTGTGCATGATGTGTTTGTGCTTGCCTGCAAGACGTGTGTGTGTGTGTGTGTAGTGTGCTGTGTTATCAGGCCCAAACTGCTCGGGGATCCAGACAGTGTCCATTATTGCATTACCAGGAGAATTACCCAGGATTCCTGTGACATGGTGAGATTGTCAGTTACCGTGACAACTAAGTGACGCATCAGAGTCAGAGGAACGTTCTAAGATGGGTGGGTTGTTTACATCAGAACATCCACAGCAATGGAAGCTTTAGTCACCGAACACACTGCTGCCCTTTATCTAGAGTGAAGTGGAGCGAAAGTGATAAAGGGTATAAGGAAAACAGGAGGTAGAGGGAGAATGTGTGCGTAAGAGAGAACTATGTCGAGCCGGATTGAGCTGGATAAAGGTCACATAAGGTGACAATGATGAAAGACTCATGGTGTAGTTAGTACATCCTCCTATTCTATGGGCCTGTGTAATGCATATACAGGATGTTTGTATGTTTTGCAGGTAGGGTGTTTGTGTGTCTCATATGAATGTGTTTGTGTGTTGCAGAGCCACCACTAACAACAAGGTGAAGGAGACTGTGGCTCTAGAGCTGAGCTTTGTCAACTCCAACCTGCAGCTACTGAAGGAAGAACTAGAGGAACTCAACAGCAATATGGAGGTCTACCAGACAGAGAGGTAACACATACAGTACACACACACACACACCATCATGGTGGAGGGTGTGGACACTCAATGCGCTGATGACCTATTTGCTTTAATTATAGCTTAATGAGAGTGGCCTGGAATGCTAGTAATGAGGCGCTAGTAATCCAGCCCAGCTGAAGCTCAGGGTCACAAGTGGTGCAAATCCTTTGATTTAGACTCTCATTACAGTTTTTTTTCAGTCGCTTTGGTGCAATTTTCACAACTCTTAGTACAAAACTCAAAACAGATCATCAAAAAGGTAGTTGTTTCAAAACTCTAAGCACATTTTCAATTAACCAAGTACAACACACAAAATCATACAGTCACTTTTTCACCAAACTTAATCAGTGTTTCATGTAAATTAATAGATGACATTCACTGCTATAAACCTGTCTCCAATATAATCGCATAATTTACACAGACCCACCGCATCCCACGGTCTGTTTTGTCAACGAGCTCAATGTATTCCAAATACTTGTGGTAACCAGATGATCCCAATAATTTAGGTAGCCTATTAAATGATGCCCCCTCTGGTATGATCTATTGCGAACTGTCTGGGACTCGTTGTTGGCTTGCTCTTTACTACGCAAAGATATTTGACTTATTAAGTCAAAGACGAAATGAACTGCAATACACTGATCTCAAATATATTTGCATACTAGGCTACACAGAACCACTGCGGACCCATTGTGTAAAATCTGAGTATTTTCGCTGTATTAAAGTGTGTCCCAGTGCAACATGCCTAGCTGTGCCCACTGGGGCGAGGCTTACGGAGCGCTCTTTGAAATAAGTGCTAGTATCGCAGTATTCCAACGGATCAAGTTATCTCACCACACCTGTGGGGTAGGTAGGAAATACTTTTTAACTTATGATATCTACCAGTAAATGCTAACTAAGACAAAAATTGGGTATGCAAACCAGGTATTGAAAAAGTTTTGTCTGAAGTCTTTGTTAGTAGGCGATTTGCGATGGGCAATTCAGTCATCATGCACAGTTTGCATGAACAGTTTCTAAAGGCTTTCCCAAAAAAAACCTTCACAATTAAATGTTTACTGCAAAGTAGACCTACCTGACAGAATGATATCATGCTGATTTGTATCAATGGGGAGGGCTTTAAGCATTGTTGTGCTTAGAACATCCCATTTATGTCTATTTTTGATTTTAAAAAATGTGATTTTGAGAGTGAAAATCTGAAAAATATATAGGAAAACTCATAGAAAAACAGGAAAACAGGATTTTTCACACAGGGCACCTTTCCTTAGCCGGGGGCCATTTGGGAATTTTTGCCAAAATGTAACTCTACCCGCTTCTCCAGGCACCACTACACCACTGCATAGGGCAGATGGAAGTCACACGCAGCATGATGTTCAAGGATAAGCAGTCCATTCACTTGGACATAATAAGCCAGTAAGTCCCAATCAGAAGAATACAAAAACACAACCATTAGGCTAAGCATTTCCCAATTGACATGTACAATTGTTACTTCCCATTGCAAAACACATTTAACGTTTAGCACACAGAGTAACGGGTGATCTAAAGTTTAAATGCCACAATGTTTCAGTTATATGTTTCAGTTATTTTGAAAGAGATGATCTAACAACTGCAAGTGAGCTGCAATAAAAAACACAGTTCCACTCACCAGATCATTTGAAACTTAACTTCTTGTTGAAAGTTATTCTTGAAAAGGGAGAAGCTAACAATTTAGCAACAACATCCTCTTCGATAAGCCAAAAATAGTGATCATTCGATTGCTAAAACATTGAAAATATTCCATTGTCTTGTCAGGTCCACATTTTGTAAACATCAATAGAAAAATAGGAAATTACTATGAAATAATAAAATATTTCAATTGTGTATAGTTGACTTTATTATTTTTAATGCCATCATCGCATCTCTGCTCAGGCAGTAGCAGCAAGCCAGACAGACAATGTAATCTATGTGCTCACCATACTGTACACTCTTTAGGCATCCTATTTATCTAGGCTAGCCTGCCTAAGTATGCTGCAGAGCTGTCTGATCGCAATCATTTGACTAGCTCTTCAAAGTACACTATATATACAAATGTATGTGGACACCCCTTCAAATTAGTGGATTCTGCTATTTCAGCTACACCCGTTGCACACAGCCATGCAATCTCCATAGACAAACATTGGCAGTAGAATGGCCTAACTGAAGAGCTCAGTGACTTTCAATGTGGCACCGTTATAGGATGCCACCTATCCAACAAGTCAGTTTGTCAAATTTCTGCCCTGCTAGAGCTGCCCCGGTCAACTGTAAGTGCCGTTATTGTGAAGTGGAAATGTCTAGGAGAAACAACGGCTCAGCCACGAAGTTGTTGTTCACACAAGAACACAGAACGGGACCGCTGAGTGCTGAAGCGTGTAAAAAATAATCTGTCCTCGGTTGCAACACTTACTACCGAGTTCCAAACTGCCTCTGGATGCAACGTCAGCACAAGAACTGTCCGCCATTGGACTCTGGAACAGTGGAAACACATTCTCTGGAGTGATGAATCACGCTTGACCATCTGGCAGTCCGCAGGAGGAATCTGGGTTTGGCGGATGCCAGGAGAATTCTATCTTCCCCAATGCATAGTGCCAACTGTAAAGTTTGCTGGAGGAGGAGTAATGGTCTGGTGCTGTTTTTCATGGTCTAGTTTAGGCCCCTTAGTTCCAGTGAAGGGAAATATTTACGCTACAGCATACAATGACGTTCTAGACGATTCTATGCTTCCAACTTTGTGGCAACAGTTTGGGGAAGGCCCTTTCCTGTTTCAGCATGACAATACCCCCTTGCACAAAGCGAGGTCCATACAGAAATGGTTTGTCGAGATCAATGTGGAAGAAATTAACTGGCCTGCACAGAGGCCTGACCTCAACCCCATTGAACATCTTTGGGATGAATTGGAATGCCGACTAGGGAGCCAGGCCTAATCGCCCAACATCAGTCAATGCCCGACCTCACTAATGCTCTTATGGCTGAACTGAAGTCCCTGCAGCAATATTCCAACATCTAGTGAAAAGCCTTCCCAGAAAAGTGGAGTGTTACCTGTTTTGAGTTTTGTACTAAGAGGAAAAAAATTCACCACATTCTTGTGAAAATAGTACCAAAGTGATAATAAAAACTGTAATTAACAGGCAGGGGGGTGGAGGGGTGATGTGCTACTGACCAAAATGGTTACTGTCATAATAGGGATGGGGTGGGGGGAGGCAGATAGCAAAGCAGATGTGGATGTATGTGACATGTCATTCACACATATATTGATCTCTCTTCTCTCTCCTTCAGTGAAGCCATCAATGTTCCCATGATCCCACTCGGTCTGAAGGAGACCAAGGAAGTGGACCTCACTGTCCCTCTCAAGGTCAGGAGAAAAATATGCCTCTCTCTCTCATATGCCTCTTTCTCTCATATGCCTTCTTTCTTTCTTTCTTTCTTTCTTTCTTTCTTTCTTTCTTTCTTTCTTTTCTTTCTTTCCTTTCTTTCTTTCTTTCTTCTTTCTTTCTTTCTTTCTTTCTTTCTTTCTTTCTTTCTTTCTTTCTTTCTTCTTTCTTTCTTTCTTTCTTCTTTCTTTCTTTCTTCTTTCTTTCTTCTTTCTTTCTTTCTTTCTCTTCTTTCTTTCTTTCTTTCCTTTTCTTTCTTCTTTCTTTCTTTCTTTCTTTCTTTCTTTCTTTCTTTCTGTTTGTTGAAAGTGACCGATCTTGTCCTCTTCTCTCTCAGGACTATATCTGTGAGCACTACGGGGAGGACAGCTCGCTGTTTGAGAAGGAGATCAATGAGTTTATGGAGCTCAGACAGGTTAGAACTAAAGTCAACTGCTCTTAAAACCACTGCCACCTAGTGGCTTTGGCTAGTTAAATCACTAACAATATAAACTGGTGGCTAACTGTTTAATAATTCTCAGAGAATCATATCATTTATACACTGTGGGAGTATAAATTATACGATATTCTGTTTTGTGAGTAAACAATTATATTTTAGTTGGTAAATGTGTTCATATTAATGTTGTTGACATAGCTTGTAAATATAGTATTATATAGTCATGTCATCAAATGTTGCATTGAGTGTGTGTTCTAAAATATGAGTGTGTGTTTTCATATGTATGTGCTAATATATGCCTCTGTGATTATCAGGCCATGCGTACACCCAGTCGTAACGAGGCAGGTTTGGAGCTCCTGGTGGAGTATTATAACCAGCTGTACTATCTGGACCAGAGGTTCTTCCCCACACACAGAACACTAGGAGTCCACTTCCACTGGTCAGACTCTATTACTCTCACACAAACTCTTCACTTACAGTACCTTCAGAAAGGATACACACTCAAATGCACACATGCATACAGAGACACGCACACAGAAACCTTTCTGGTTTCCCCCCTTCTCTTTCTTTCCTTCAGAAAGTATTCATACCCCTTGACTTATTCTACACTTTGTTGTGTTACAGCCTGAATTCAGAATTGATTTTTTTGTTGTTGATCTCACCCATCTACACACTATACCATAATGACAAAGTGAAAACATGTTTTTAGAAATATTTGCAAATTTATTGAAAATGAAATACAGAAATATCTCATTTAGATAAGTATTCACACGCCTGAGTCAATACATGTTACAATCACATTTGGCAGCGATTACAGCTGTGAGTCTTTCTGGGTAAGTCTCTAAGAGCTTTGCACACCTGGATTGTACAATATTGGTTGTACAAGTTGGTTGTTGATCATGCTAGACAGCCATTTTCAAGTCTTGCCATAGAATAGGCCACTCAGGAACATTCAATGTCGTCTTGGTAAGCAAACTCCAGTGTATATTTTGGCCTTGTGTTTTAGGTTATTGTCTGAAAGCAGAG